ATAGTATGTGGGGGGTGTTATGGTTTTCCCTAAAAAAATAATCTGATCACCAATTCGATGAAAAAAATATTGTGGTCAAGCAGATGACAAAAATAAAATATTCTGAATCCAGATTTTCCCCATACCTTATAGCGTTAAATTTTGAAAAAAAATAATTTGATTGATAGCGTCGAAAAACTAAGAAAAAAATTTCTGACACATACAAAAAACATAACCCCCCCCCCCCCTCTTGAAGTTAAATGGTTGCCCCCTTAACTTTAATCAAATTGAATAACATTGGTGGATCATAAACATACACAAGCCTCTTCTTCCAATCTAAATATTTAGGTCTTTATTACTTTCTCGTTGATCCCAGGTAGTGATCACATGCAATTCATGACTCGGTGTCGCATTTAGGATTTTGTGTTGAGTGGGATTTTCAATCTCATTTTGTTTGATTTGTTTTGTGTCTGGTTCATTTTGTTCTAGGCAGTTTGACAATAATGAATGAAAACAAAGTTTAAACATTTGCGTGCTATGATGCAATTATTCTCGGGATATCTTACAAACGTCGAATTCATAAGTTGAAAAACTGTGAACGATCGACCAAAGTCCGTTTTCAGGAACAAAGAAGCTGTGAAATGTCTATCATCTCTTCGCGATAAATATGGTGTTGTTCCTGCGGATAAAGCTTCAAATAATATTATCTTTGTATTTAAATCGTACGACTACGAGTGGCTTGTAAAAGAATTAGGAATAAATGAGCACTCAGGTAATCCCACATAATCGCAAAAATATATCATTTGACAAAGATGAGATTTTGGCAATCATAAGTCCTTCATGGCTTCAATGAACATTACATTGAACAGCAAATCTGAGGACTTACCTTGTTTGTATTGGATACCTAAGCGTCACAAAATTCCGTGCAAACAACGATACATTGTCTGCTCATTTGCATGTTCTACAAAGGAATTGTCCATTAGATTGACCAACAATCTGGCCGCATTGAAAGAGGGTCTTCAAAAATACCGTGAAACTGTTTACTCGCGTAGTAGTATTTACAATATGTGGATTCTAAAAAAACCACTTAAGAACTTATTGATAATTTGAAATCTCGATCTTTCTCTGAAATTAATTCTATCAAAACTTTTGATTTTTCAACACTGTATACCACCATTCCCCATGTAAAATTGAAAAATCGTCTAAAAAGTAAAATCATGAAAATACTGAACTCCGAGGAAAATTCAAAAGGAAAGTCCCTAATCAAATGGCAAAATCAAAAGCTCAAACACATCAAACGAATGGATAACAACTGTCATATTCCTGACTTGGTACAGGCATTTTCTTATGTAGAAAATGGTGGATTGAACCTGGTTTTATAGCTAGCTAAACCTCTCACTTGTATGACAGTCGCGTCGAATTCCATTATATTGACAACGATGCATGAACAAAACAAACAGACACAATAATTAAAAATGTCAAAAATAGGGGTACAGCAGTCAAAATTGTGTTATCATCTTAATCACTATAAAAACAAACAAATGTAACAAAGAAGCACAAAAAGGCATACATCAAATCCAGAAAAGCGCTTCGGACGCATGAAATTATTAAACGTTTTGTTTTCAATTTTTTTACATCACTGGGTCGATACCTCTGCTGGTGGACTATCAGTCCCCGAGGGTATCATCAGCTCAGTAGTCAGTACTTTGGTACTGACATGATTTATAACAAACCTTTCTAAAATTGACTGTTTATAAATTTTGAAATTATAAAGAAACTCAAGTTTTCAACTCCCTCAGGCAAAGTTGACCTTAGATGAATTTGGCTATTTGTTTTATGTATTTTTGTCATATAGCTCTTCAACTGTTTCGGTACTTATACATCCCTCGGATTTCAAATGTTTGGCTTGAGCGTTCCTGATGAAGGTAAATCCAGAAAAGCGCTTCGGACGCATGAAATTATTAAACGTGTTGTTTTCAATTTTTTACATCACTGGGTCGATACCTCTGCTGGTGGACTATCAGTCCCCGAGGGTATCATCAGCTCAGTAGTCAGTACTTTGGTACTGACATGATTTATAACAAACCTTTCTAAAATCGACTGTTTATAAATTTTGAAATTATAAAGAAACTAAGGTTTCAACTCCCGCAGGCAAAGTTGACCTTTGAGCATTCCTGATGAAGGTAAATCCAGAAAAGCGCTTCGGACGCATGAAATTATTAACCGTGTTGTTTTAAATTTTTTAACATCCTCATTTTGCTTTTTTATTATACGATTTTATTTATCTATGTAAAATCCACCCATAAAGGATGAAAGGTTTTAAGTGCTGGCGTAGAATCGCACGTTTGACGTCACACAGGTAGATATAAAATAATTTTGTCGTTCAAAGTATGACGGGATACATAAGTACAGAGTCACGTCAAATGGATATCACAAAAAACAGACTTAACACTAAAAGTGATATTAATAAAGACAAATAAAAGAATACTATAACACGTTGTTAAGATGATAAACAACGTCAGTACGCAGAATTTATACTTCAAGACCATCGTGTATTATTTGTTAAGTTGATACGGAATATATATCAACAAGGTCTTAGTACCTTCCGATGAACGTTTTAGAAAAAGGACGAGACGTTCTTTGACATACCCCTGGTTCATCAACTTTCTGCTCAGACACTGGTGACGTTTTACAAAGTCTGAGTAGGAGCTGCAAGCTCTTGAAAACCGAATAAGTTGTGAAATGTATATCCCATATGCATGTGAAGTTTATATATTTCTACTAAGGTGGGGGAAATTGATAATTTCAAAATTAAAATCGTCTCGTTTGTCATAGATTCTGGTACTGAGATGACTGTGTATGTCAAATTCGAGGTATAAATCTAAAAATGAGGCGGAGGACCGTGTCTGTTGTTTCGTTAATTTCTAGTTCTGGGGGATATATTAATGGAACTCAATCAGAAAAGAAATAATCCACAATGCTTTTCTATATAAAAATGGTAGCACACACTATAAATTTATTACTTTGAGATACCATACTGCATATTTTGTTAATAGTGAACAAAAAGGTAAACCATGCTACACAGAGGAACAAGTGATCAGTATGCAGGAGTTTCTTATTGACAGCATGTTTGTTGAATTTTGAGGTAGACTTTTTCAACAAATTGTCGGCATTCCTATGGGAACGAACTGTTTGCTTCTTCTTTCCGACCTCTTCTTTTGCTAATATGAGTCGGAGTTCCCTCAAACATTTGTCAAAAACAAGAAGATCAAAGAAGCCAGCTCATTTAATTTTCACATTCAGTTATATTGATGATGTTCTTTCCATTAACAATCCAAACTTTTCTGATTGGGTTCCATTAATATATCCTCTAGAACTAGAAATTAAAGAAATAACAAACACGGCTTCCTCCGCCACATTTTAAGACTTATACCTCGAATTTGACATACGCGGTCGTCTCAGTACCAGAATCTATGACAAACGAGACGATTTTAATTTTGAAATTATCAATTTCTCTCACCTTAGTAGCAATATACCAATTTCACCTGCATATGGGATATACATTTCCCAACTTATTCGGTATCCAAGAGCTTTCAGCTGCTACTCAGACTTTATAAAACGCCACCAGTATCTGAGCAGAGAGTTGATGAACTAGGGTCATGTCAAAGAACGTCTCGTCCTTTTTCTAAAAAAGTTCATCGGAAAAAACCAAGACCTTGTAGATAAATATTCCGCATTAACTTCACAAATAATACATGATGGTCTTGGTGTATAGATTGTTTATCATCTTAATTACGTGTTATAGTGTTCTTTTATTCGTCTTTGTAAATAATTAACCTTTACTGTTTAGTCCTATTTTGGTAATATCCTTTGGCATGGCTCGGTTCTTATACGGTCCCGTCATTGTGTTATTGTGCTATGGTCATTTTTTGTATTTCTGTCTTTCATTTTTGCTATGTGCTTTGTCTATATGCCATTTTGTTTTCTTTGTTGGCATATTTCTTTGTTTTATAGACTAAGTGATTAACATTATAACAATGTGGACTGCTGTACATATTTATGACATTTTTACCTATTATGTCTGTTTGTTTTGTTCACACATTGTTGTCAATATAATGGAATTTTATGCTGTCATACAAGTGAGGGGATTGGCCAGATTTAATCCACAATTTTCTGCGTAGGGAAATGCCTGCGCCGGGTCGGGTGACAGTTGTTTTCCATTCGTTTGATGTGTTTCAGCTTTTGATTTTGCCATTTGAACAGGGACTTTTCTGTTTTGAATTTTCCTTGGAGTTCGGTATTCTTTTTATTTTACTTTTTACAAATCATCATTTTTTTTGTAGTTATTTGAATACACCTTGCTTTTTATTTTTAGTATAATAATGACCAAAAAATATTAAGAAAAGACAAAACAAAAACTACAGATTTTCTGACATGTTCATTAATATATAGCGAGGTTAACTTCTTTTGTAAGCCTATGCCAATCTTTTACGTTGACCATAAGATTACAAAAGGTATAGAAAAATATAATATGGTTATACCAGAGGATAACACATTCAATTTGTAAACTTACAGTTTTAGTGAAAATTACATCTTATATACACCTGGAAAAAGTATCGCACCACCCGTGATTTTCATCACTATCCAAAATATTATAACATATATTATGGCCCACTAGTATAAAAAGGCTATTTGTAGCATTTATTGACAGGACCACATTCATTCATAAAACTACTGCAACGATATGAACAGTGCATATCGTTAATGGGTGTGGGAAAAGCAGCAAACAATGAAACATTTGACCCATTGCAATTAGTACATAATATAAGGCGAATCGGTAATAAAACGAAACCACAGAGCGTAAGAATAAAACAACGTAATTGTATATAAATTACTTTATAGTTCACAATATCATCTCTAACAATGAAAAATAAAGTGTAGTATAAAATTGCTGCGAATGGAACAAATAATGTTTTGCTTTTTTGTTTTATTTTTTTAACAGGATCAAGTTTTAGGTACTATGGATGTTATCTGAATGTTGAAGTAAATACCTCGTATGTGAATAAAACATTTATGTCCAGTTCCATCTGTATAGAATTTTGTAAAGTAGGTCACTATAGCCTAGCTGCGTTGTCTGTAAGTTATCGTTTACCAATTAAACGATTTTATCACAATTCTTAATATCGTAAAGTTATTAAATTTCAATATCATGAAATTAATTTTGTGTTCGTTTCATAAATATTCGTGACTTGTTGAAAGATAAATGTTTTCTGCACTATATAATTGTGTAAGAATCTTTGATATATGCCACAAGAGAACCTCTCATGTCTTTTTATCCTATTCTAAATTTAATTTAAAATATGTTAAAGCTATATATAATAAAAGTTCAGTATAGTCATTTTTATTGCTGGTATAAGCAAATGTCTTACATATGATTTTATCTCCTTAAAATCTAGGTTTGAACCTGTAACAGATACATTGTATAACAAATATAAAAATTGATTTGTTTCAATATTACTTCATAACATATTACTTATCTGTTTTTTTTCTTAATTCAAGGTCAAGATAACTGGCGCACTTTTTCTGACAAATGCTTATGAGGCACATGGCATTTGTAGCTGTAGTAATGAAACTCTTATGAATAAAGTGAATGAAAGCTTGTGTAATTTTCCATGTCCAAAAAGCCCGGATGAAATATGCGGTGGCTACAACCAAACAATTTACTCTGTTCATGGTGTGGCTATGCGTGGTATGTACGTATATGAAGGCGGTGGTTTTTTTGGGTATTTCCCAAACACTATTTGTACAATGACATTTGAATATATAGCTTTTGGACACCTTTTTTCTTACTATCTTGTAATCAACATATCTGCAGAATGTTTGACACAAATCAAAAGCATATACCGAAACTAGAACAGTTCAACTCTTAGTTAAGATGAACAAGTGGAACTGAAGCTGGGTCGTAGATAAGCATATAGGTGTTATCTTTTTACAACAGATATTTATTTTTTATTTTCATCCTATTTTTTGTCCGAAATGTGGATGTTCAAGCATTAAAGTATACACATTACTGACATCATTTGCTTTAAAGTAACTTGTGTTTTTGGAGGCTGTTTTTGTTTTCATATCAAAGTTAATTGAAGAAAATTTCTGTTTTGTGTAATGTGAAAAGTAGAGTATACAGTGTAAATGGAAATATTACCATTATAAATATATGTTTTATAGGTTACAAGAACACAGGAAATAATGATCGTAAGTGATGTCATGTTTAATTATAATATCCTGTTTATAAGTATACACGGAAAAATAGTATGACAAAAATATCGAATTACAAGGTAAATTTAAAAATGGCAAAGTCCATAAAAACTGACAAAATCAAACGTTAGACTTTATCACCCAAGGGAACGAATGGAAAACAACTGTCATATTCCTGACTTAGAACAGACATTTCCCGAAAAAAATGATACTAGTAATTTAAACCTGGTTTTATAGCTAGCCTAACCTCCCACTTATAATATACACTTTCTCGATAACGTAAAATTTATGATGTAGAGAAAGGGAGAATTTTCCATGAATTTATTTCACAAAAGGGCCAATAAATAAGTTTTACGAATTTTTCCTGAAAGAGACAGGTCCAATTTTCCTTAACTCTATCAGGGCCATTTTCAATAAGATTTTTCAGAAATGAAAAAAAAATCGACTTTTTGATGTATGATATATATTCTTAAATATTCAATTTTAAGTAGGATTTAAAACTTAGATTCTGACCCTGTTAGTAAAACATGGAATATATATATTACTACACATGAAAAAATCCTGCTTAACTCAAAGAAAAAACATACTGTCAGTTCTTGGATATAACAATAAGAAGATATCGTATTTTGCCAATGAGACAACTCTCCACCGGAGACTAAATGACGTAGAAGTTATCAATTATACTAGATCACCGTACAGCAATAATACTAGATCACCGCACAGCCTTCAACAATGAATAAAACACATAGAGTATAGTAAGCTTTAAAAGGCCACGAAATTACACATATTAAACAATTCAAACGAAAAACTAGCGGCCTGATTTATGTACAAAACAATTAACCAAAAGCAATAATAGCCTTTCTTAGAATATATAAAATATTGTTTGATATATATACTGCCTATTAATATATTGAAGGGAAACGTTTTTGAATAGTATTGTAGGCTTCATCAAAAGATGGCAATTCTTTCATAGTTTACCAAAAAAAAATATTCTCTAAAATGCTTTGTCAATTTTCCTTGAGCTGTTGATTTTAATGTATATGTGCTGAGCATATAAGCTTCATACACAGTTTTTCACAAATAGGAAAATATCATATATATATATTATGAACAATAAATTAACATCGAAGTCATCGTCTTTACTTCATGCAATACGATAGGTATAGTGGTAGGAGCAGTCTTTGCAGTTATTGGTGTCATGGTGATAACCGTTGTTATTCTGATTCTTTACAGAAGGTAAGAAAACATTATATGAGGTTATTAAATATTGATAAGTAATCGCTCGAACACTGGTCTAGGTCACTGGACACAGTGTAGGGGGAGTTAACACATATGCCTTAATGGTCACAGTGCAGGGATGTCACAGAAACTTGGGTTATCTGTTACCGCAAAGTTGCAAACTGGCAAAATTAATAGATTAATATTATAATATATCATATAAGAAAAAAGGGCAAAATTTCACCCCTTGAAGAATATTAAAAGAGATTCCTTTACATCACACAATATGAGAAAACTTTCAAACTGGTACAAATTTAGGCTTTGAAAAAGGAAATAAAAAATAATCAAAAACAATATCAAACACATATTTGACATCTGTTATCTAAATATTCCTTAATGGTCTAACTACACAGAACCTTTCAACATGCAATATAAAACGTTTATAAATGTAACGTATAACAGCATTAACGGTACAAATTTTTCTGCACCAGACGTGCATTTCGACAATAAATGTCTTTTCAGTGATGCTCGAGGCCAAAATATTTAAAATCCAAAACTTATTAAAAAAATAAAGAGCTTATAAACTTTAAAAGACCAAAAGTATAGCCAAAGTTGGACAAAGAATCCGAGTTTGTATGAGGGAGATATAGTCATGAATTTAAAATAATTTTCAAAATTTTGTTACAACAAATTTTCATTACACAATATCCGTTTTTTTCATGTCATAACCGAAGTACTGGCTCATGGGCTGATGTAACACCCTTGGACTAACAGTCCACCAGCAGAGTTATTGACCCAGTGGTAGTAATAACATTAACCTTACCAATTTTTCTCTCCACCAGATGCACATTTCGACATTAAATGTTTCTTTAGTGATGCTGGAGGCCAAAATATTTGAAAACCCATAATTTATTTAAAAAAATTAATGGGCTTATAAACCTAAAAAGACCAAAAGTATAGCCAAAGCCGGGCATTGCATGAGGGAGATATATTTCTGAATTTGAAATAATTTCCAAATTTTGTTACAGCAAATTTAAATAATACAATATCCGTTTTTTTCATGCCAGTACCGAAATACTGGCTACTGGGCTGGCTTATATAAATTTCAAAAGATACGAACAGATGGATAAAATAAATAGGTATAGCAATGAGGAGGAAATTCTGTTTCAGTACCATATTTGTTGTCAGTCCTTGGTCTGTACTACTGTTTTCTTCGTTTTCTTATTTCTTTCAGATATCAAACACGTTCTTTTACGACAACATCTAACCTTAAATGTAAGAGTTTAGTATTAGACAAAAACAATGACATAAAGTCACGTGACATGAAATCAGAAAGTAAAGGAACGCTTAACTATTATGTCCACACAGATCATAGTAATAGTAATATCAGCGAAAGAGAACTTTATGAGACTGTTGTCTATAAGGACAAAAGTAATAATGAACAGTCGATCAACATATGTACTAATGAATCAGGGATGAAGAATAACACTTATGGCCAAGACGACGCCAAATACGAAACTGTTGAGGAAATCGAGAGGGACAGAGCTGTCAGAAATATATATAGAAATAAAAGTATCGAAAAATATATGAATATTAATGCAGACTCTGACACAGTCGAAAAAAAATTAAATCAAAAGGCAAATGCTAATGATGAGCTTTATTACAATATTGATGAACATAAATCTGAAGAATACGAAATTCCGACGAGAACAGAAAGCGCACCACATTTGTATTCAACGCTTAATGCCGACTCGGAAGAAGATACCATAAAAAGTGAAACACAAGTCCTTGAAAACACAGAGGAAGAATATGAATTTATGATGCCACAGTAAGCATTGAAAAAAAAAGAGAAATGAGCAACAACGATTTAATCGGAAGAAATATAGAGTATTAATAAGTAGCAACTTCGGAAACCTTATGTGATACAATATACCACAATCAGACAAATAGGAACTATATAACAGCTGCAATGAACATTAAATATATTAGATGCAATAGTTTCTAATACGAACTATGGTTTATTTAAGTTGTCTGCACAGGAACAAAAATCTTTTCTGTAACATTCATCATCTGTCAAAGCCAGGTTGATTCATTCTATATAACTAAAAGGAATATTATATAAAAGAAGTACGACGTGTGGGTAAATAAGAAAGTGCTGTGCTTAGATTATTTGCCATTGTAATTCTTTGGAATTTCTAAATTGAAACTCTTCAAATTATATTCCCCAAAATGTCAATCAAAAGGATAGTAAAAAAGAAAAATCAAAAATATGTTTGAATAGCGGGTAGAAAAACGGTAACCCAGCTAAGTAAATAAGGAATCGAAATCTAGAGAAAAGAATAAACGGACAAATCAAAAGCAACGACACAAATGTACAGAAACCACAACGGACAAATCAAAAGCAACGACACAAATCTACAGAAACCACAACGGACAAATCAAAAGCAACGACACAAATCTACAGAAAGAAAAAGAGACAAATCAAAAGCAACGACACAAATCTAGAGAAAGAAAAAGAAACAAATCAAAAGCAACGACACAAATCTACAAAAAGAAAAAGAGACAAATCAAAAGCAACGACACAAATCTACAGAAAGAAAAAGAGACAAATCAAAAGCAACGTATCAAATCTACAGAAAGAAAAAGAGACAAATCAAATGCAACGACACAAATCTACAGAAAGAAAAAGAGACAAATCAAAAGAAACGAGACAAATGTACAGAAACGACAAGGAACAAATTAAAAGTACACTGTACTAGCAAGTGTACAGATAAAACGAACAACGGAAATAATTCGTGATATGAATTAATCAGGAAGTTACTTCTTTGGACAAAATTAAAAACTTACGAAAAGGAAACCATTGTTTTTGTTTACTATGCTATCGGGATTGGTTGGTATATAGTTTATGTGTACCTTTATTTAAATTTACTTACGTCCTTGAAATGGCGAAAACTGAAAAAAAAAGGATTTTACTTTTTATCTTTGTGGTACTTTGCCTTAAATGTATTTTATTCAAAAGAAAAGGTCAATGTTTCGTAGTCTTACCGAATTCAAAATAAAGCTTCCGTATATTCGTTTAGAGAGTTTTGCACATTCAAAGCTGATCAGAATGTCAATATTCTGCTGAGGAAACTGTCCACAAAATTCAGTGATCTATCGAAACCTAAGCATTCTACCAATGTTTATCCCGAAACAAATATTTGGGAATTTGTGTTGTTTCTGTATTTTATTATTGGAGTAAACACATGTTTTCTTTTCGGACTATTATATAAAGTTTGTGAGTGCATCTTGCGTGAACGTGAGGCTTTGAAGACAGGAAGACAAAAGTTGAAAAGAAGAGCGAAGATTTGTAGGACAATTTTACTGTTTAAGCACATAATTTTAGTGAACATATGCACAAACAATGTTTATAAATAACGTTGTACATAATTCTTCCCTGAGAGACGTTTTTACGACCAACAACAAATATTAGACAATTTTAATTTGCTGCCATTGTCCGCCATCTTGGAAAATTAAATTTATTTTTATTTTCCCTTAATAGGTTTTCTGGAGCATTTGTATTACATTTGTGTTGCCTTTCGTTGTTGAAGTATTTTGATTTTTCTAAAATTAACAACTAAATACAAATACTAACTTGTTATACTATCAAAGAAAGCTTAATACTGTAGATCGAGAAATTCAATGGTGGGGTCATTCTGAATATACTGCAGCAGATGGTTTTCGATATTTCAATCGAAATATAGATAGATCAATAAGGCATTTCGGTAATATTTGGATATACATTTGGGTTGATATCTGTGATTAGACGACCAAAGAGAGAGATCATAGAATTGGAATAAGGTCAACGTCAGACACTACCACTACCGTTAACCTTTTCATTGAGCAACTTCAAGAACTTGGCAATTTCCTATCCTGTTTCTCAAAAGTTTTAAGAGTACCATTTCTAAAATTCCACATTATTCAATGGAATTTTACAAAATAATTATAAAAAAGGTCACCACTACATAGACTACAAAGAAAGTGATAACATACTTTGGAACCGACTCTTCATCATATATCAAGAGATTGATAGAAACAAAACAATAACATAGAAACAGTATTGTACATACTTCTCTTTGGACTTCGCAATTCTCAATCCTAAATACAAGAAAGGCAAACACAGAGATAGCTAGATATCATTTCGACTTATACACTGACGGTATTCATCAAAACAATCTTTTATGAAATGTGTCGCTCGATGAAGCGAACAATAAAATAACCAGAAATTGTTGGTACTAAACATTTCTCAAGAATAATTATTTCGGTGTGAGTGTGGGCTTTCCATGCTAAACCACAATCCCCAATCAAATTTAAATACATAAGAAAGCGCCTGCATTCTTTTTGTAAGTCGTGGGCTTTCCACGCTGAACCACATAATCTGTACAAAGCTTGACGATAACTCCACTTCAGAAACTAATCAAACATCCATCACTTTTCTGGTCAGTCGTGGGGTTTCTATGCTACACCTTTCTCGTTTATGAATACAATTTAAAAATAAAAATAAAATGTCAACGGGTGAATCTTTAAATAGTGTCCTATCTATGACCTTGGCCTCTACAGCAGCACTACGTAGAAGCAAAATGTCAAAGAAAAATGAAAGTTAAAGTATAGTTGAGAACGAGTACGAAAATATATCGACGAAAAATAAGTTGCAGTAACGGTAGTTTCTAAGTCTGGTTGTTACAGAAGTCTTGTACAACAATAAACCAGACGAACTTCTAATACAGTTGAAGTACTGAAGTACTGAACATCGGATGACCGCAAGTTCTGGTGGATGGTCACAAGCACTTGTCTCAGAAAAAAAATCACATCTCTATACCTGAAAGTTAGGTTAAGGAACATAGATATATTTTTTCTGAGATAAGTTCCTGTGTGGATGATGAATAAATGACAAGGAATTCAACCTCACCGTTATAACTATTATATTGTAGTGATATAATCATTTGTTATAGTATACTCTGGTTTTTGAGCTCATCGGGGCCCAAAGGGCCCCATGTCAGCTTATGCCATCACTTGGCGTCAATCGTCTGTCGTCTGTCGTCGTAAACTATTTAAAAAATCTTCTCCTCTGAAACTACTGGGCCAAATACCTTCAAACTTTAAATAAATGTTCCTTATGGTATCTAGTTTATAAATTGAATCCGAAGTTTTGATCGATCGACAAACATGGCCGCCAAGGCTAAAAATAGAACATAAGGGTCAAATGCAGTTTTTGGCTTATATCTAAAAAACTAAAGCTTTTAGAGCAAATCTGACATGGGTTAAAATTGTTCAATTGGTCAAGATCTATCAGCCCTGAAATTTTCAGACGAATTGAACAACCCATTGTTGGGTTGCTGCCACTAAATTGGTAGTTTTAAGGAAATTTTGCAGTTTTTTGTTATTATCTTGAATATTATTATAGATAGATATAAACTGTAAACAGCAATAATGTTCAACAAAGTAAGATCTACAAAAAGTATATATGACCAAAATTGTCAATTGACACCTTAAGGAGATATTGTCCTTTAAAGACAATTTTACACAATTTGTTCATCAAGTTTGCTAACATTTAAAAATCTTCTCCTCTGAAACTACTGGGTCAAGTATCTTCAATCTTTAACTAAATGTTCCTTAGGGTATCTAGTTTATAAATTGTATCCGAAGTTTTGATCCATTGACAAACATGGCCGCCATGGCTAAAAATAGAACATAGAGGACAAATGCAGTTTTTGGCTTATATCTAAAAAACTAAAGCTTTTAGAGCAAATCTGCAGTTTTTTGTTATTATCTTGAATATTATTATAGATAGATATAAACTGTAAACAGCAATAATGTTCGGCAAAGTAAGATCTACAAAAAAGTACTAGTATATATGACCAAAATTGTCAATTGACCGCTTAAGGAGTTATTGCCCTTTAAAGACAATTTTGCACAATTTGTTCTTAACTTTAAATGAATGTTCCTTTAGGAATCTAGTTTATGAATTGTATCCGAATTTTTGATCCATAAACAAACATGGCCGACATGGCTACACATAGAACATAGGGGACAAATGCAGTTTTTGGCTTATATCTCAGAAAATAAAGCATTTAGAGCAAATCTAATATGGGATAAAAATGTTTAAAAGGTCAAGATCTATCAGCCCTGAAATTTTTAGACAAACCGAACAACCCATTGTTGGGTTTCTGCCACTAAATTGGTTATTTTAGGAAATTTTGCAGTTTTTGGTTATTATCTTGAATATTATTGAAGATAAAGATAAACTGTAAACATCAAAAATGTTCAGCAAAGTAAGATCTACAAAAAGAATCATTGATGAAAGATTTAAGCAAAAAAATAACAGGTGAGCGATTCAGGCTCTTGAGAGCCTCTTGTTGTTATTTATTATATTAATATTTGTATAACAGTTATATATAATTTTCATCCATTTGTATATCATTCTATTCTACTATTCTAATGATAGTGCAGTGCAAGTGCATGGTGGACACTCTTCTGTAATAATTCGTTTTTCTAATAAATTGGATTTGAGTAGGCATTCATATTTTCCCACGTTTGTTACAAAACGTTCTTGAGATATTCTTCCGCATGCGTTTATATATTTCTCACGATAAAACATTTTCATATCATTTATCTATGTTCTTAAAAATTATTTTCATGAATATTTATTGATGAAATTAATATATAACAAGCGATAAGGAATGTTATTTTACACTCGATAATATCCGCGTAATCATACGCAATACGTTCGGTTATCAGTCAAAAACGCAAGTCACGTGGGTAGAAAGTTCTGCGGCAGCATAATACCGGAATGCCCTCACGGTAAAAATAAGAAGATGGGGTATGATTGCCAATTAGATAACTCTCCACAAGTGAACAAATGACATAGAAGTTAGCAACTATAGGTCACCGTACGGCCTTCAACAATAAGCAAAAAAACCCATACCGCATAGTCAGCTATAAAAGGTCGAAGTCTGAATGTTATAGAAGTCTTGTTCAACAGTGAGTCAGACGAGCTTGCGTATGAGATTCATGTGGGAATTGAAAATTCAGATCATCTATATGTACATTTCAATTGCAAAGTTGAGGATACTGCTGCTATTTCGTAAACTACAAATGAATCGGAGCAACAATATGAGGAGTATTGACATATCTAACATAAAAAAAAAAAAAATGACATAGTCTAATGTCAACGTACCTTTGTACGTAGTGTCATTGTCCTTTTGGTCAAACGACAAACATTCACCGTGGACATACCGTTCTGTATTATCTATTAGAGAGATACTTTTCATATCAGAAAGGTCAAATTTTCACAATATATTTGACGTCAAAACAGGACAAAAAGTGCACATTTTCTATTTACACTGGAATTAAGAAACAGATTTTATGGTGCGATGGACTTTTATAAAAAAATCTGCGATAAATACCCGAACTTATGCAGATACACATAACATAAAGCGAGTCCGTAGTAGTTTTGACAAGTACAAATTAAATTTCATTAACAATAGATAAAAGAAAATATCTTAAGAATTAATAATTCTTTTTTGCATTCTCCAAACTTCCTTCTGTTGACCAGATAAACATGATAAAAGAGAGGTACCAAGGGGATATTCAAACTCATAACATACCAATTTCGGTAGCGTCATGCCAACTTACCTTTTACACACTACACACGCAATAGATCAGATCGTTATATAATAAATATATCAAATATTTTGTGAACAGGTTATTTTTAAAACACTCCAAAGGAATACGATATTTGTGTGTTTTACCGACGTTAAAGTGGTTAGAAATAAGCCTCACGTAGAGAGATTTTGATAACTATGGAAAGGAATTTTTATGTTGTTGCTTTGATATTATTGATTTTTTACACCGGACAGTCAAAATGTGAGTATAGGGATGTCAATCTTTAGAGTTCATGTCGTTTAATATTAAATATAAAACAACAACCCCTCATAAAAGCATATAGGGGAATTCTCTCATTGTTTGCTCAATAATTTAAGCAAATCCAAAAGAAAAAGCAGTTACCCCGCCTGCAGGAACCTCATTTGTAAAGGGGACTGATTGATTGATTGATTGTTGCTTTGCTTAACGCACAATAAAACTCCATGGTATTGTCACTTTCAGTTTAAAAGAAAAAAAATATAAAGTAAATTGGGTGTTACCCCTTATGACTGTAGTCGCCGAAAATAATGATATCATCTGGTACTACCCCTTTACAACCACAAAGGTTGGTTTAGGTATAGAAATATGGTCATTACTGGAATCCTCCAATCTACTCATAAAAATCGTGCTAATGAAAGGCGTCTGTTTGTCTGTGCAGGATGTATGAATACACAGCCACGTCCGGTCGGAATATGGAAACGTTTAATCCAATGTTTCGTGTATGGCGAGTGCCACGCTCTCTGCGCACATGTAAGAACCATTGCAACAACTCTTTGAGGGATCTCCGTAGGTGGCCTTTTGCAAGACCACATTCCTTCCGATATCCAACATACCCTCATTTTCCAGTGGCAGTCCAAATCCCCACTTTTCATCACGGTCAACCAACTTTGCAGAAATTACCTATGAGATTTTTTCTCGTCCTGAATATGCATGAAATATTTGTCATTGTGCGTTTAGCAATGCAACAATCAATCAATCAATCAATCAATCAATCAATCAATCAGTCCCCTTTACAAAGAGATTCCTGCAGGCGGGGTCACTGCTTTTTCTTTTAGAGTTGTTTAAATTATTGAGCAAACAGAAAAAGAATTCCCCTATATGCTTTTCTACAGTCTCTCAAATGTTAAAACCCAGACTACGTTGTATAATTGCCTTTATGTCGGGCTTTTGGTTTTGATGATAGGAAAAATGTCAACTCAAAAAGAAAGTTACTACCATTGTTGTAAAAAATATATGGTGATAATACAATACTTACACCAACGGAAACTTTATACAATCATATGAATCTGATTTGATTTATGTTTACAAACAATCTTTTATAAAATAAAGAATATTATAATTTATGAAAACAAATATATAGACTGTTTATTTCTATAGGTACGTTAATGACCTATTACACAAATTTGAATGAAATTTTGCATTTAACTAGAGCATAACGAACTGTATGTTATATCGGAAAAATGATATATGCTACCTTTTTTTCAAACTTCCCTATGTTAATCAAATCAAATATCCAGAAAAAAAGTACAAATGTGTAGAAACTTTAGGGTTATGATGTTGAGGAATATTGTCCCGAGCCAGGTGGATAGGAGCTGGCGGGGGAAGGGAGGCAGTTGCCCCGGTTACTTTCCTGGAAAACAAATACTGAAAGCAAAAAATGAAAATGACAGAGAGCACTGCTAACTTGTAGCCTATAGATTTTTGTTTGCTTGTTCTTTTTCAGAAGTTTTACCCCCTTTTCAGTCTACTCCTATGCAACTACGAGCAATATATCACATTGCACGAGCCTGCAGGTGCAATATGATATATACTACGAGGGACAATATTCCTCAATATAAGTGCAGTAATCATTTTTTAATCCCGGCAACATCGGCCGGCAAATTTTATAAGTGGGTTTATAATTAGTAGGAGAGTAATGGAAAAGTACTAGTATAAAACAATATACTATATATCATATCATATCGTAGGCGGGAGGAGTTTGCAGTTTCTTTAAGTGGTTATATATATTTTTTAAAAGTGGGCGAGTGTGTGAAAAGTGTATATTCACAATGTATATATATTCGGTAGGACGAGTATAATTTAAAGAATATATGTTACATTCATGTACAATGTACCGGAGGCAAGTAGTATATCCAACTTTCCAGCCATGTACTACTAAGTAAATTAATGTAGAGAGGTGTCACGGTACGGGTGGGAGTCGGCCGTCAACCGCTAATCTAGGTTGAGAGGAAGAAGTAACTTTTCCTCGCATTCTAGGCGATAATAGGAAAGAGGCGGATTCTGTTACCGTTTCGGTTGCTTCGTGTTTTCTTGTTTAACAATGAAATATACATTTAGGTAGTGTTTTATAAGCAAATTGACAATCGAAACATAACCTACAATTTTATAAGATACTGTATATATTGAAAAACCTTTACAAGTATATTGACAATGTAGTTGTTTTTAAATTAAGGTCTTTCCTTTTCCAAAACGTAAAAACCTAACTGTATTTTTTCTGATTATTATTCTTTTTTTTCAAACTTTGACAAAATTTGCCTCCGATAAGAGTATAAGGATATGTCGCTTTCAAGTTCACACTTTGTATCAACGTCACAATTATTCCAAATAAACTGATTGGTAGGATAACTTGCTTAGAATTATACCTATTAGAGACTTTGGGTCTTTCTATACGTTGAATATTGTATATATTTCACCTTCGCCGGGATATATGCACAAAGATGTGACTTTTTTACCCTCTAAGTATGGGTATTTGACAATACATTTATGCTTTTTTTACCCGTCACGGAGATGCTTGGTCATTTGTGTGTTTTATCAATGTGGTTGTCTTTGATAAATAACGACTTGAAGCGAAAGAATGATGGAATCATAAATAAAATGTTTCACTTTACCATCTCTATTGGTGTAATTAACAGATATATATCATGTTTAGGAGGGTACTGGCAAAAATACCAGTCTTGAAGAGAAATTTCCTTCGATTAAAGGCTAAATCCAAATATTTGGCTTCCTCTCTACTAGTACCGGTATTTTTTCAAAACCCTTCCTGAAAATGATATATCTGTTCAAAATACTATACAATTAAAAAATGATTTTTTTTTTAATTTTTTACTCCAGGTTTACTGTTCCTGTTTCATGGATGCTATACGGGTTTCGATTCGGACAAATCCTTCAGCAGTAACTATATGTCGATTGAAATGTGTTCTAAATTTTGTGATGAGCGACACTACACCTGGATAGCAACTTCGGTAGGTTATTCTATTTAAATCGGCTTCATTGCTTCTCTCTATCTATTGTCTATGAAGATCCCCACCACATCCATATAGTTCAAGGTATAAATTTATAAATGGAAATGTAGGTATACGTCAAAAGAGACAGCAAAAAACGACACAAAAATAAAACGAAATTTGGAGGTCAACTTACGATCTTCATTAACATACTATATTGTCTGTATAATATCAAAAGCATCAGCATGGGGTCTCGTGGAAATAAACACATCAAAGATACTAGGCTTAAGAGATTCAAAAGATCATGTTTTTCTTAGACTGCTAATTATGTCTTTACATTAAATCCATTAGGAGTTGGATGTGAACTGATTGATATTTTAGTCTTAGATACATGATATTTTTTATTAGTTGTAAGTGGCTTTGAAGTAGCTTTCTGTAACTTCTCAGATCTTTAATTTGTGTCTTGTGATTTTATTAGTTGCTTTTGTGCTTTGTATTGATCTGATGAGTTAAGCCCTTTTTAACTGGTTTTTATAGGTTGTTCTTATGTTGTAATCTTACACAACTGTTCCAGATTAGGGGAAGGGTTAGTGCGCCTGCAAACACTTTTCATCCCGCCGCATTCTGCATGTGCCTGTCCCAAGTCCGGAGCTTGTAACTCAGTTATAAATTGTTGTTTGTTACTGTATTTCATGTTTGTTTTTTTCGTTTATTGTTTTGTTCATACACCAGTCCGTTAGTTTTCTCGTTTAAATTGTTTTACATATGTCACTTCGGAGCCTTTTATAGCTTTCTATGCGGTATAGGTTTTGCTCATTGAGTCATTGTTGAAGGCCGCACGGTGACCTATAGTTATTAACCTTCTACTTCATTTGGTCTCAGGTGGAGAGTTGTCTCATGGACAACGATACCACCACTTCTTTTTTTATATTATCATAATTTGGTATGCCAGATGCGCGTTTTGTCTACAAAAGACTCATGAGTGACGCTCGAATAAAACAAGTTAAAAAGACCAAATACAGTATGAAGTTGAAGAGCATTGAGGACCTTATAATAAATTCCGAAAAGTTTTGCAAAATACATCTAAGGTAATCTATTCCTGGGAAGCGTGTTTGCCTCGAATGCGGGATAGGGGTCGTGGGTTCGATATCTGGCTGGAACATACTTCTGACTTTTTTACTTTTATTCGTTGTTTTTGCCAAGCGCAAGCCGCATTCGAAATCAAAGCAAGGATGAGTCGTCTCGGAATAATGTGTTTGAGTATGATATTTACACTTGACACTTACATTGTGAGCTTTCACGCTAAAAATCCGACTCATCATCTCTGTTATAATTTTTTTCTTTTTTTTTCTTTTCATAATGAAAATGTCTGATCAAGTCATGTATAAATTGTTCGCAGTAATAATTGTTAGTTTAAAAATCAGGAGATGTGGTATTATTGCCAAAGAGACAACTTTTTATCAAAGAGAAAAGGACATAGATGTGAAAAATTACTGGTCACCATACGCACCTCAGTCGGTCAATATGATACTACGACATTTGAGTATAGTACATTTAGTTGTTACTTTCTGCTCTTTTCACATGAAATGCATCAAATCAGAATGGCAACAGGAAAGTAACACAGTATTATCTATCTCTCCAAATGTGATATGTAAAGGGAGTAATTTCAGGTCATTCTATCATTTTATTTACTGTTAACTCAACTTAATAAAAATATGACAAAAAAAAAGAGGACACTTATATTTGTTTAAATTTATTGTGTCAAAGGGTCAGATAGACGGAGGGGTTATGGACTCACATCCTGTTGCTACTTGCAGCTGCAGTAAACAACCGCCACAAACCGAAATCAACGGGACACTCTGTAATTCTCCTTGTCCAGGAAACGGAAATGAAACATGCGGGGGTCAAAATACAACATTTGTGTCAATGTATAGTATAGTTCCAGACGGTATGTGTACTTGTTATATAGAATCATGGACAATTACTTCAGCAATTATGCAACACAATATTCAACCTTCATATCAACCTTAATTATTTCTAAAGTTAATTAAGATATGAGTGTTAGAACATACTTAAGTTTTCAATGTATGAAAGGAAATGAGTTTCACACAAGCGAGAGATCAATCTATCACCTTCATTGGAAGTTTGATTTTTGACACTTAAAAATATCACCCAGATAATACATAATATATTCTGAAAAGGCAAATCCTCAAAGACCAAAAGTAAAATGATTTCAGATGCAGGTGGAATTGAAAAAAAGTTTGGTATAACGTTAATGAGACAGTAACCCAACAACAATAATTCCAAACGAACTCTTTATGGTAACATGCAGTCCACCATTACACAGGTGTCCACACAAAATGTCAAGCTCTATAAAAGTTGTTAATAAATCGAACAAAAACAAAAAAGAAACAGAATTTATATTACCCTTTGAAGTTAAGTTAGTGATAGTTACATGTAATAAGGAATGCATGCTCTGAAGGACGCCTCCGGGTGCGGGAATTTCTCGCTACATTGAAGACCTGTTGGTGACCTTCTGCTGTTGTCTGTTCTATGGTCGGGTTGTTGTCTCTTTGACACATTCCCCATTTCCATTCTCAATTTTATCTAAGATATACAACTTAATTAGTGGATTACTTTTAGGGATAAGCGTATAAACATCGACAAAATAAGCAGCTTTCGTATTGTTATTAATTTCGCAAAAAAAAAATTTTAAATATTCTTTGGGTGTATATAATTCTATTCTTTTACTATTCTTTACAGACAGCAATGCTACATACGCTGTAAACAGTAAGTAAAACTTTATGGATTAAATAATCAACTGAAGTATGAAAGTTGAACATGTTAAGGAAGTTGTATTACATATTATACTTGCAAAATCAATTTTGCCTGACAAACTCAACAATTTTTTTTTCACAAAAAATGGACAATGACAACATACCGAAATGTGTCCAAACTAATTTCATGGTTGTATGTAAACATGACAGGAATCTCCTACTCTATAAAAATAAGGAGATGTGGTATGATTGCCAATGAGACAACTATCCACCAAAGTTCAAATGAAGTGGATGTAAGTAATTATATGAACTACAGGCTCCTGACTTGGGACAGGCACATAAAGAATGTGGCGGGGTTAAGCATGTTTGAAGGCACCAACCCTTCCACTAACCTGGGACAGTAGTGTAACGGCACAAGACACAAGACCAAACTATGTAAAACAATAAAGAAAAAAGAAGTATTAGATACTCCTTAAGGGCGTTTCTTCGGAAAATGCCTTTTCAATTTAGGAAAAAGATAGTTGTTTTCCATTCGTTCCGTTGGTTGATATAATCCAACATTTGATTTTGTCAGATTTTATGGACTTTCCTTTTTCTTAATTTACCTTGGAGTTCGGTATTTTCTTTTACTTTTTTTTTTTAAATAAATACAATTAAAAAATATACAATAGTAGATATAATTTTCGAAAAGGATTATATTTATTTAGAGATGCTATATAAAGACCGTGTAGTTGAGGCAGGAGGACCCAATTTTCGTGTTTTATTAATGTTAGACTAGGCAGTCTTTTAAAAATATTTCCTTTCTCTATTTGAACTGTACACGTATACCTAACAACACAATTATTTTCATTTACCTGTGTTTAAAGTAATTGCAAATGGCTGATATTTTTGTTCGAGCATATTGTTTTTCTTAAATTGTTTAACATTTCATAGCGGTATAACATGTTACTTTTATTATTCTTCCCTTAGTTTATTTATTTTGTATTTACATTGTATCATAGGTCAAATTTATTTGTTCAGTGTATGTTCACTGGTGTTAATATGTCCTTTGATTGAGTTAAGCTATTTCAGTTGATATTTTATAGTGTAAAATTGAGAATGGAAATGGGGAATGTGTCAAAGAGACAACAACCCGACCATAGAGCAGACAACAGCCGAAGGCCACCAATGGGTCTTCAATGCAGCGAGAAACTCCCGCACCCGACGGCGTCCTTCAGCTGGCCCCTAAACAAATATGTATACTAGTTCAGTGATAATGAACGTCATACTAAACTCCAAATTATACACAGTGTGTCTTTCTATGTTGTGTGATGTTACACTATTGTTTCAGAAAAAGGGTGAAGGTTTGGTACCATTAAAACGTTTAAACCCGCTGCATTTGTTTGCACCTGTCCTAAGTCAGGAATCTGATGTTCAGTAGTTGTCGTTTGTTGATGTGGTTCATGAGTGTTTCTCGTTTCTCGTTTTTTATATAGATTAGACCGTTGGTTTTCTCGTTTGAATGGTTTTACACTAGTAATTTTTGGGGCCCTTTATAGCTTGCTGTTCGGTGTGAGCCAAGGCTCCGTGTTGAAGACCGTACTTTGACCTATAATGATTTACTTTTATAAATTTTGACTTGGATGGAGAGTTGTCTCATGGCACTCATACCACATCTTCTTATATCTATTGTAATACATTTAGGGAGGTAAAACGAGCAACGGTCACCTATAGTTGTTAACTTCTATGTCATTTGGTCTCTAGTGGATAGTTGTCTCGTTGGCAATCATACCACATGTTCTTATTTTTATAATCATATATTTAACCAGGAAAATGTTAGAGAAACTACAATTAATGCCATTTACATTTTCACTCTGTTTTTTTTTGTGATTAGTCGTATAGTTATGATGTGTGTTAACCTCTAATTTAGGCTGGACAGCTAGTCACTTTCAGAAATTGGCTTATACACAAAAACCAAGAACAATAAACAATAAAAATAAAATATAGAATAAATATTTCCTTACCGAAAGGTTAAAGTGTAACTTTTCATTTTCCCTATTAAATTTTGGAGTGCTTGTTTTCACAAAGAGAAGTTGTTTCAATTTTATATTTTTGTAGTCTTCAATAAAATCTTAAACGTGATTCATATGCAATAAATATTTTGATTTGTTCTATGTCGATGAAATAACATTCATTTGTAGAAAGAAGGTTGATTATATCTTACTGTTATTACATTTTCAGTCACATTAGTAGCAGCAGTGGCAGGAAGTGTCTTGGTTGTCATGGTTATTATAATAACCGTGGCAATAATCATCTGTAAAAGGTATACACATGTAAGGGGTTAGAGTAGTGTTGGGATCTATTTATTCAGCCCGCCTGCAAAAACAATTGGGAAAATTTAATGAAATATGATTCATAAGAAGAAATCAAGCTTTTACATAAAAATAAGTAGAAATAAGGAGTTACGTTTAATTTTACGGTAATATTGTACTTAAAGCGCGGAAATCCCTATGTGATCCGTGTAAACTCATCGAACCTTTAAACAAACTTATTAGTAAAGGTTATCTTACCAACGTTGTGATTAGATCTTTGAATATAGTTTACATTGGCACTTATATCGATTTTGTCATCAGCAAATTAAAACATAACTAAATTTGTATTCTTTTCAAACGGGATGTATAAAGACACACTCACGTTCATTTTGATCTATAAAGAATTTAACTCCTAACTATCCTACTGCCTGTCGATACATTTATTTTTGGCATTGCACAAGTCATGTCTTCATTTACTGTCCATGACGCTAAAATACTAAATCCCTGGGATGTGTTTTAGTTGATTTTAGTCTCTGATGCATGATTTTTTATTATTAATTATTTTTGGCTTTTAACTAGCTGTCAGTAACTGCGAGTACTCTCAAATCGTACTTTCTTGTTTATTTGACCTTTTGATACTAATTGTAATGCTTTATTGTTATTTAATGTTATTCAGAGTTATATCTGGTCTATATACCAGCTTTGATAAGTGTTGAGTATTACTATAAATTTTCACTTCTTCGTACTATGAACATCAAAATTATTCATTTTGTAGAAATATTTCCTTTCTCCATTTGAACTGTACACGTATACCTAACAACAAAACTATTTTCATTTACCTGTGTTTGAAGTAATTGCAAATGGCTGATATTTTTGTTCAAGCATATAGTTTTTCTTAAATTGTTTAACATTTCACAGCGGTATAACATGTTACTTTAATTATTCTTCCCTTAGTTTATTTATTTTGTATTTACATTGTATCATAGATCAAATTTATTTGTTCAGTGTATGTTTACTGGTGTTAATATGTCTTTTGATTGAGTTAAGCCATTTCAATTGATATTTTATAGTGTGTCCTTCTATGTTGTGATGTTACACTATTGTTTCAGATAAGGGTGAAGGTTTGGTACCGTTTAAACCCGCTGCAATTGTTTGCACCTGTCCTAAGTCAGGAATCTGATGTTCAGTAGTTATCGTTTGTTGATGTGGTTCATAAGTGTTTCTCGTTTCTCGTTTTTTATATAGATTAGACCGTTGGGTTTCTCGTTTGAATGGTTTTACACTAGTAATTTTTAGGGCCCTTTAAAGCTTGCTGTTCGGTGTGAGCCAATGCTCCGTGTTAAAGACCGTACTTTGACATATAATGGTTTACTTTTATAAATTTTGACTTGGATGGAGAGTTGTCTCATTGGCACTCATACCACATCTGCTTATATCTATTTACGTTTGATTTTAGTTTAAATTACGACAATAGTTTTTTTTTCTGTTTCGTTTCATATTTTGTTATCATTTTTTTTTATTTACTCTACAGTAAGTCTTTGTTTTTTAAAGCCGAACGGTGTCATATAGCTATTTTCACTTATGTACTTAGGTCTATTGTTCGATAGTCGATTTATTGACAGTCATACCACATCTCCTTATTTTTAAAATGACATTTGTATTGTCAAAATAGAATTATAACATCTTCGTAAAATCTGTAGGTCCATGTACAAGCAAACGTCCAAACTAAATCTTTGTATCTTAGAAACTATTTAGTAAAGGTTTTTAGAAATTTCTGATAACGAAATTCCTAACCTAATAATTAAATTTCGTGATTGGAACTCTTACCGTCACTTCAGATGATACAGGCGTAGCGAAAGAGTCTGCAAACAATGCAAGAAGGGACCGAAGTAATACCACAGTTCAAAATGGCCATTTAACAATATGGAAAAAAACTAAATAAATATAAAAATAAGGAGGTGTGGTATGATTGCAAATGAGACAACTCTCCACTAGAGACCAAATGACGTGCACAAGCAGCTATAGGTCACCGTATGGCATTAAACAATGAACAAAACCCATATCGTGTAGTCAGTTAAACGGGCCCCGACATGAAAATATGTGAAGCAATTCAAACGAGAAAAAAATCAACGGCTTGATCAGTGAAAAAAAGAGACTTTTACTGAGAAGTGTAATTATTACAATAAAGCAAATTCATTTCTTTTTGAATATTTAGTATTAGGGTACCAGATCCGTGTGAAATTACCTACATGTATATTACCAAAGGCATATCTTAAGTTTTACAAAATAAAGGTGTATTGTTGTGTGTGTGTAAATTCCATGCTTCCTATCAAGGGCCCTTCATTGGAACAATAAACATTCTTATTCTTATTCTATCTTTCACGAAGATATAGTTTTGGTATAATCATTCTTATATTTGTTATCATGTTGTACAATTAAATTGCAGATTTCATAAACGAAAATTTGACCCCATTCCATCTCATGAAGCTCTTACAAGTGAAGAGATAAAGGGCACCAGCAAAGATGTTTTCAAAACTGGACAGAAATCAAAGCCCAACCATTATGAACAAACTAAGCAAAGCAGTTGTAATATTGATGAAGAGAAACCATTAGATACAAGTACTATTTATCAAAACGAGACGGATAGAGTGAGATCAGATAATACATATGACGCAGAGTACATTCCAATGGAAGGCGAGAGCAATATTCATGACGTCGGACCTCAAATGGAGTATGTGGCGATGGCTGACGACCAAACAGATAAACATACAGGCAGTTTATACAGTAATGAAGGACAGAAGGAATATGAAGATGTTAATATAAAACAACGTGTAATAAACAGCACTGATAAAAGTGGAAATACAGAAGCTAGCGTTTATCAGAATGTCCAAGAGCTAGAAGTTCTAGGCTACGAAAAGCCAGTAGAACATCCAGGTCAAACACACTTATATTTAAAACTTGAAGGTGAAAAAAATGAATCAGGAGAGGAATATGAGGAAGTAATACCAACAGTTAAACCGTAGAAAGGAAAGAAGAAATAAGTTATATCAGGATTCACTTTGAATGGATAATATTGTTCATAAGTTAGTGCCATTCAAGTAAAGAAATCTGTTTTAGATTGTAAATCTAATTGTGATCACGAAGCATTTTTTGAAAAAACATACATGACATACATTGAAATGATCTTTATGTATAGGTTACAATTAAAATGTGAATTATGTAGGGCTTAGAATCACCATGGTACAATCGAGAATTCCAGTTTCTACTGGTACATATAGGAATTCAGATTTATACTACTTTAAATTCAGAACAAATGAAATTTTAATATCTACTAGTAGAACTCGGGATGTCAAGATTTGTACCAGGATAATTCTTGATTGTACTAAGTTTCCATCCAGTACACAGGATTTCGAATATTACTAAACTATAGCTTATATGATTTAGATCGTACTGGGTTTGTTTCAAATTGTATAAGTAGGAAAACAAAATCAATGAAATACAATATGGCATTATTGTACTTATTACATATTAATGTAATGATAAGATATACTGCTTTGAATCCGAGCCAACTATTCTTTGCTATAAATTCTAAACGCTACGGGTTTAGCGTAGAAGCACCAAATACCAATACCAATTTTAATTGATCTCCTGAAAAAATCGTATAGATTGACTTTGAACCGTTAATAAATTTCAATTAAGAATTAACCAAGGTAGTAAACTTTAATCTGCATTTGTTCAGTCTGGTAATTCCAACATTTTAACCTGTTACAATTCTTCTTTGCGAGATACGGTTCCATCTGATGGCATAATCTACGCAAGGCCCTTTTCTGAAATAATTTCACCGGTGTTGAATCCAGTGATAGTTTCAATTTCATAACTTTAGGAAAATTTGCAACCTGTCACACTCACACAAAATTGTGTTAAGAACACATCGAGTATTACTGTGACCCTAACCCCAACTCTAACTCTAACCCTAACCCTGAAGGAATGCAGATGATAAATTATTATGTTGTTTTGTTTAAATAAGAAATTAAAATGGTTAAACGGTTATTTCAGTTTAGTAGATTAGATAAAATTTTGTCATGCATAATGTGTCTATGAATATTCATGTAGTACAATCCAGGATCCTCCTATAGTACAAATATGTATATCTTAATTGATGATATTAGAATTCTGATTTGTACTGGATTTTAATAAATATAAATCAGAATTCCCATTCATACTTCCAGAAACAATTTCAATACATGTATGTACGAGGAGGATTCTGAGTACTAATGGATTCCAAACTGACTGTTGCAGATTTATAGCATACACTGTGTATGTAATGCAGTGCAGTTTATTTTGTGAAATCTTGTCCTGGTACCGTTACTTGGAAAACACTCTCGTCTTCTGCTTCTGCCTGATAATGGCCACAATCAATAAACTGATTATACTACCATGAATAATAAAGACCATAACATTACAATATTACATGTATTCTCAGACTAAGTTTTTACTTACCGATATTTTAAACTAAAAATGCACTAAATCTTATAATCCATATTTAAAAAAAAATACGTTATTGGTTATGCTTGATAATCATTTATATAACTTTGCATATTATTTTTTTTTTTCTTTCAAAAATTTCATTAAGGTTTATGTTTTGTTTTAACTATTGTATAATTTGTTGAATAGATGCATGTTAACACATAATAATATAAGAACAATTATATTTGTGTTGGTTAATGTCTTATCCTTTTGCATTTCTAGTTATATGTACCAAAGAACTGGTACAATCTTCAACTCATAATTTTTCAACAGAGCTACTGAAAAAAAACTTTCAATCTTTACTAGAATGCTAGGTACCACAGCTTCAAATGCACACTTCATGGTTATAACAACAGCATATCGTATATGAAAGAAACCTTTGCAGTTGGTAGGCTAAAATTTAGACTTGAGAATATTCCAAACATTCTGTGGTGTATAAAACTGAATTTTAATTTACAGATACAAACTATGTTATTTTAGTTTTTGATACCCTTTGATGCAAAATTTAACAAAAGCATGTAAATGAACATAACACCGTAAAAATTCCGTACATCCAAAGTGATTTTCTGGCTTTACCTTCATCCAGAACATTCAAACATAAGTATTTGAAAGTCAGGGATGTAAAAATACGCAGAAACGTTATAAGACATTTTATTAAAAGAAACTTCAAAAGAATTACCAAATTTGTCTAAGTCAACTTTGCCTGAAGGAGTTGGAACCTAAGTTTCTTAATTTATCAACGGGGAATTTTAGAAATGTATGTTATACATTATGTAAAATTTGCAATACTGTTTTAATGTATATATAGGCAGTGTTTCCGTGAGAAGTAAAATGCAGGTTCCAGCCCGGTTGGGGAGGAAGTAAAGAATCAGATCTTTTCTAACATTGTTAAGTTGGTAATCTAGGCACTGTATATATAATCAATCCTAAATTGAGGTAAATTATATGGCCTTCCAAATACCGTTTCGATTCCTAACATCACTGAAGAGACATTAATTGTCGAAATCCGGATATGGTGTACAAATATTTTGCACCTCATGTTTGCGGTATTCCATCTTTTCAGCAAGTTTTTTTTTCTGTTTGGTACTAAATTAATAATTAAGATCCATCTTGTTACATCTGGTGATCCGTTTATTTGGCAATCGCCATGGCAGTCAGCAGTGTTTAAGAACATCCGTTGTTCGACCTGCTAGTCAAATGCGTTTTGTTAAAATATACTTTTCCACTTTTTTGGTCTTTTGGAAAATGTTGTTTGTGCTGTATTAAGACCCCTCTACCGACATTTGTTTTGCATGCACACGTATAAAAATTGCGGTTTTTATTCAACACAATCATAGGTTTGAACGTTGTTTTAAATTTAGACTTGTTTATATTTTTTCGATCAGGCTTGTATTATATTTGCCTTCGGGCTTTTATGACCCGTTCGTCCTATTTCTACTCTTCAAAATTGAAGAGTCAATCCTAAATTGAGGTAAATTATATGGCCTTCCAAATATCGTTTCTATTCTTGACATCACTGAAGAGACATTAATTGTCGAAATCCGGATATGGTGTACAAATTTTTGCACCTCATGTTTGCGGTATACCATCTTTTCCGCAAGTTTATTGTTTTCTGTTTGGTATTAATTTAATAATTAAGACCCATTTTGTTACATCTGGTGATCAGTTCATTTGGCAATCGCCATGGCAGTCAGCAGGGTTTAAGAACATCCGTTGTTCGACCTGCTAGTCAAATGCATTTTGTTAAAATATACTTTTTTCACTTTTTTGGTCTTTTAGTGCGATGGTCTGTTGGGAAGTGTGATGGTCCTTTCGCTGATGTGAATATTCAAATATAATATACACACTTATTTGTGTTTAATGGAAATTACTTGCGAAGGGGAGTTTACTCAACTGGTCTTTAAGAAATTAAACAATAGGAAAAAAGTATAAGAAACAAGCTAAATTTAAAAAGGAGGAAGTCCTTTAAACTGAAAAAATCAAACGTTATCTACCAAAGGAAAGGAATTATGGTCCCGTTTTTCATACATTTTTGTTAGTGTGAAGATTACCGTGAAAATCCTTATATTAAGATCGAAAGCACACGTTTGATTCAGTTATAGCATGATCATTTTGATAAATTGAATAGGTATTAGATTATTTACAGAAAATAGGTCCTCGCAATAGTGCACAGTTGTATATTGAAATTATATATCAAGTGATGTACTAGTATTCCGTCTTTATAAAGATTAGCGATAAACAAATGTACATCGTATAATACAATGTTTGTGCTCACTTTCTGATTTCATCAGGTACGATCAAGGTCAAAGGATTTCACGTTAGCCAAAATATATAATTTTATGGGAACGTAAAACGAAACGAAACGGACCTAGACCAGAACAGTGAATTTTGAATTAAGAGCCAATGTTTGCTTCAGGGTGTTGCCAATTCGATAATCTGCTTATCATAAGAAAAAGTTATTTACCGCCGAAAACAGTAATCTAAACAAGCCTAAAGTTCAATAGATTTATGTGGTAAACAACTTTTGCCTAAAGTTCAATAGATTTATGTAGTAAACAACTGTTGCATAAAGTTCAATAGATTTATGTGGTAAACAACTGTTGCTTAAAGTTCAATAGATTTATGTGTTAAACAACTGTTGCTTAAAGTTCAATAGATTTATGTGGTAAACAACTGTTGCTTAAAGTTCAATAGATTTATGTGGTAAACAACTGTTGCTTAAAGTTCAATAGATTTATGTAGTAAACAACTGTTGCTTAAAGTTCAATAGATTTATGTGGTAAACTACTGTTGCTTAAAGTTCAATAGATTTATGTGGTAAACTACTGTTGCCTAAAGTTCAATAGATTTATGAGGTAAACTACTGTTACCTTGAGTTCAATCGATTTATGAGGTAAACTACTGTTACCTTGAGTTCAATAGATTTATGTGGTAAACTACTGTTACCTTGAGTTCAATAGATTTATGTGGTAAACTACTGTTGCTTAAAGTTCAATAGATTTATGTGGTAAACTACTGTTGCTTAAAGTTCAATAGATTTATGTGGTAAACTACTGTTGCCTAAAGTTCAATAGATTTATGAGGTAAACTACTGTTACCTTGAGTTCAATAGATTTATGTGGTAAACAACTGTTGCTTAAAGTTCAATAGATTTATGTGTTAAACAACTGTTGCTTAAAGTTCAATAGATTTATGTGGTAAACAACTGTTGCTTAAAGTTCAATAGATTTATGTGGTAAACAACTGTTGCTTAAAGTTCAATAGATTTATGTAGTAAACAACTGTTGCTTAAAGTTCAATAGATTTATGTGGTAAACTACTGTTGCTTAAAGTTCAATAGATTTATGTGGTAAACTACTGTTGCCTAAAGTTCAATAGATTTATGAGGTAAACTACTGTTACCTTGAGTTCAATAGATTTATGAGGTAAACTACTGTTACCTTGAGTTCAATAGATTTATGTGGTAAACTACTGTTACCTTGAGTTCAATAGATTTATGTGGTAAACTACTGTTGCTTAAAGTTCAATAGATTTATGTGGTAAACTACTGTTGCTTAAAGTTCAATAGATTTATGTGGTAAACTACTGTTGCCTAAAGTTCAATAGATTTATGAGGTAAACTACTGTAACCTTGAGTTCAATAGATTTATGAGGTAAACTACTGTTATCTTGAGTTCAATAGATTTATGTGGTAAACTACTGTTACCTTGAGTTCAATAGATTTATGTGGTAAACTACTGTTGCCTAAAGTTCAATAGATTTATGAGGTAAACTACTGTTACCTTGAGTTCAATAGATTTATGAGGTAAACTACTGTTACCTTGAGTTCAATAGATTTATGTGGTCAACTACTGTTACCTTGAGTTCAATAGATTTATGTGGTAAACTACTGTTGCTTAAAGTTCAATAGATTTATGTGGTAAACTACTGTTGCTTAAAGTTCAATAGATTTATGCGGTAAACTACTGTTGCTTAAAGTTCAATAGATTTATGTGGTAAACTACTGTTGCTTAAAGTTCAATAGATTTATGTGGTAAACTACTGTTGCTTAAAGTTCAATAGATTTATGTGGTAAACTACTGTTGCCTAAAGTTCAATAGATTTATGAGGTAAACTACTGTTACCTTGAGTTCAATAGATTTATGTGGTAAACTACTGTTACCTTGAGTTCAATAGGTTTATGTGGTAAAGCATAAAACAAAAAGATTTAATCATTATTCTGTTTTGTTGACAAGTCTATCTGTTTATACTTTATACAAAGTTCTGATATTTTTCTGTCTCATACTAAACTTTTTGTTGTCCTGGTCAACACGGTTTAAAATATAACATGATTTTTTGTAAACATGAAACACAAATAATATAAATAAAAAAAAAGAATGCATTTTTCGACCATATACCATATCAAGTCTAACTGGTAAATGGTAAGATCCATGCACCATATCGAGTCTAACTGGTAAATGGTAAGATGCTCAGAGCTGAATTACAAGGTATTGTGATTAAGCGGTTAAAATCAAAGTGATGGCTATCTAATGACAAACCAGTAATTTATTAAGCTGAACACCTAGATGCTCTATATTTGTCTTCATTATTGTTATTGTACGGTTCTTTTATCATATAAATATAAAGAAAGAAGTTTGTTTACCATCTACGAAAGAGCATGCTGTCATGGTCACTTTTGCAAATTCCAGTAGCAATTCATATTCTCTTTTATAGAATCGCAGATCTTTACTGGCATAAGGCAATCCATTAGAAGTGTTCTTTTTGTTAACGACACACAACCAACACCTGTATCTTTCTTTACTAGTTTACCATCGGCACACAATACACAAACACACCAATAACATGTACCGTTTATTTTGATGCAAGTTACTTGTAACCGTACTTTGTAGTGTTTTATTGGTGTTTTGATTTTTACAATGTATGGAGTAGAAAAGTAGAAACATCGTTCTTAAGTTGACATTTTGACTGAGTGTCGATTAGCATGACAGGTGATGCATCTATATCAGGAGACACTTATCCTGTCGACGCACCTGTTGAAGTTCATACGATTCCCTTTAGTGTAACCTTGATTCGTACCTTCTCAATAGATTTAATGTTATGAGGTAAACTACTGTTGCCTAAAGTTCAATAGATTTATGTGGTAAACTACTGTTGCCTAAAATTCAATAAATATATGTGGTAAACTACTGTTGCCTAAAATTCAATAGATTTATGTGGTAAACTACTGTTGCCTAAAATTCAATAGATATATGTGGTAAACTGCTGTTGCCTAAAATTCAATAGATTTATGTGGTAAACTACTGTTGCCTAAAATTCAATAGATATATGTGGTAAACTACTGTTGCCTAAAGTTCAAAAGATTTCTGAAGTAAACTACTGTTACCTTGAGTGCAATAGATTAATGTGGTAACTACTGTTGCCTAAAGTTCAATAGATTTCTGAAGTAAACTACTGTTACCTTGAGTGCAATAGATTTATGTGGTAACTACTGTTGCCCCCAGTTCAATAGATTTATGAGGTTAACTACTGGTGCCTTTAGTTCAATAGATTTATGAGGTAAACTACTGTTGCCTTGAGTTATATAATTTATGAGGTAAACTGCTGTTGCCTGACGTTCAATAAATTTATGTGGTAAACTACTGTTGCCTAACATTAAATAGATTTATGTGGTAAACTACTGTTGCCTAACGTTCAATAGATTTATGTGGTAAACTACAGTTGCCTTAAGTTCATAGATTTATGAGGTAATCTACTGTTGCATAAGGTTCAATAGATTTATGTGGTAAACTATTGTTGCCTTACGTTCAATAGATATATGTGATATACTAATGTTGCCTAAAGTTCAATAGATTTATGTGGTAAACTACTGTTGCCTTCAGTTCTATAGATTTGTACATACACCTGGTCAGTCAAAAATATTGTTGGAATTCTTTTAAAAATGTATACATAATGTTTCATTATAATGATTGGTGACGAATACTGCGTTTTCAGAGAACATTTATATAAAATACTATGGAATGTCAATCACAGACAATTCAAATGTATATATATATTAGGAAAAAGAAAACCGAGATATGTGGGAATTTATTTTAGTTTTGATTGTCAAATAAAAAAAGAACGAGTCGGATACTAGCCATAAGGCATGATATTACAAATTTCTTTGTAGCCCGGACATCTCTTCACAAAGTCCGTCAAATACTCTTCCACAGTTGCATGAATTGTATCACATTCGCCGATGACCTGAAACCCATGGGTTCCACTTGGGTTACACTCGACTGCCTTGTGGAATAGCCAGACCATGTTTTCACACATACAGTCAATGCGGTTATGTCCAATGCTGACGTTCTTCAGATTATCTGTGAAATTAATTGCAAGTGGTACTTCTCTGAGGGCAGTATTATTTAGCTCCAGAATTTGTAGAGAATGCAGCGGCGCTAAGGAGTCACGTGAAATATATTTCAGTGGCATGTTTGAAAGGGTTAACTTTTGTATATTGGAGAAGCCTTGTAAGTCACGTTTTTCTACAGTCTCTATTGCATTAAAAGAGAAGTCAATAGCGTTTAATGCTGCAATTGTTGCCAAAGCGGCCGGTATTCGCTCCAAAGAACAATTTCTTATTGTTAATTCACGAAGAGTATGTAGTCCCTCCACAGAGGTTTCGCTTAAGAAATCAAGTGGATTATTATCAATGCTAAACTTTGTCAACTTCTGGAGATATTTCAAGACAAGTGGAAACACTGTCAGCGAGTCTCCTTTAAGCGACAATGTTGCAAGTTTTGAAATTCTGCTTGTCGGGAATGACTGAACAAGTATTCCACTGTCTCCGGTATTATGATTGTCGTCGTAGTTCAGCGTCAGTAAATTGCGTAACTTGGAAATACCCAGTGGTACAGCTAGCAAGTTTGTATCATGAATAGACAATTCAACAAGGGTTGTTTCGAAACCATGGAAACCAGTGGGCGGAAGTATAGTCAAGTCCGGATGGAGAGCTGTAATCTCTAAGCGATGCAGATTCTGGAAATGGTTGAGAGTTCTCGGCCAATCCCGTTGTTGAATACTTCCGAATGTAAACTCTTCCAATGTATCTCCCAAAGCCCTCATTACATTGTTTGGCAAGGTAATATCATTTGTCCCTCGATAGTTATTGGACACGTTCAATGATATTAACTTTTCTAAAGACGCAAGAGCATCCGGAAGGGTTAAGAGTTGATTATTGCTTAAGTCGATGTACTTTATATCACGAGCTACACCTTGAAAGGTACCGTTAGGTAGTGTCTGAAGTCGATTGTGGTCTAGTTTCAATGTTTCAAAATGACTATTCGGAAAAGCGTTGACTGGTAGGCTGGTAAAGCTATTGTGACTCAGGTCTAATACTTTGACACCTCTCATTTCGGCAATACTGAAGGTTGGAAGACTTGTAAGACCTCGATTATTGCATGATATTGTATCTGCAATACACGAACACGACATTGGACATGTGTGTACGGTAGCAAAACTACAAATCACCACTAGAATAAACGGTAGGTACCTCTGAAATTATAGGAAAAGAAAGAAGTTTGTCTTTAAAATGCACATTTCGTACCAGCAATCGCATTTAACGTACTTTATATGAAACGTGTAATAAATAATTTATGGTAGAAGTCGAACAGAAATATATTATAAAACCGTACAAAAACATTCATGTAAAATGTGTCTCAAACATAAACACGAGATTATAATAATTCAAAGAATATATTTCAGAACGAATGTACTGATAAAATATCATTCCAGTATGTGTTTCTTAAGTATATACTGTAACAATATCGTTTTTAATGTCGCTCGTGTTTAAAAGACTATAGTTTTTATGAGGATGAAATTCGGAGAACAGTCAAGTAAATTCCCTGGAAGACTAAAAAAAGAAGGGGCAGTACACACATCTTGTAATACTTATAATTGGTAGAACATTAAGGCATATAAATGATGTAAAATTTCGCAAAAAAGTTGTGCCCGGCTTTGGCTATACTTTTTTTGTCCTTTTTGGCTTATAGCTCTTCATCTTTTTAATAAGTTTTGGTCTTTCAAATATTTTGACCTTGAGCATCACTGAAAAGACATTGATTGTCGAAATGCGCATCTGGTGCAGAAAAATTGGTACCGTTTATGTTATTTCATAACAGGTTGAACTGTGTAGGCGTAACAGAAGTTCTTATTGAAAATTGGATTGTCTATCTTACACAAAAGAAACTTTTATCTGGTGCGGTCGAGATAAAAGGTACAGAAAACAATGCATGTACTTATATCATTTGTGAGCATCGCAACTCAAAGCCACTTTGTTAGAAGGAGAACAACTTCAGTTTAATAAGATAACATATTCAATAAACTGACATATTGCAAAATGAATCAATTAAATTATGTCAATAAACCTTATATATATGTAACACTCAGAAACGTGTCCTTCCCCCCAAACGTGTCCGATTCCCCCAAACGTGTCCACATGACGTCACTGAACTGCAAAACATGTCCTAATGTAAAAGGGCACCAAAGCATGTCATTTGTATAAACACCCAAACGTGCCCAATACCCCAAACGTGTCCAATCCCCCAAACGCGTCCATATCAAGCTTAATTTTTTTTCCTTTACTGGAACTATCATTCGTGTCCATATTATCAATTCGTAGGTTATTTGGTTATTGCTTTTTCATTACCGTATACTCATTTTACTATTTCATTAAAAAAATAGAAATAAATTACTTTAGGTCTTTTTTTAACCGGCAGTATAATCTGGGTAAAAGTGCCAATATGTTCGGCTATGTTGGATGTAAATGTAAGCAGCCATGCTCAGTTAATTTGTAGATATTAAATCAAATACCTCGTGTAGGGAGAATGTCACTCTCTCTGCGCATTAAAACCTGTGTAGCAATTCACTCTTTCATGGTGCCATCAGTTGTATTTTGGAAGGCAACATTCTTTTTTTTTAATTTCCGCAACTTTTATTTAAAACGGCCTCTTACATAACGGAGATTGAAGTAGTTTCTTACTGAAGTCTTAAAAAAATTGGTTGTTACTGGCTCTTAAATTTTTTAGATTAAAACCCCAACTAGTGTCAATCCCGAATAACTGTAAAAATTTAGGCCTAATCCTAAATTCCCGGTATGATAATAAAACCTATGTACAGTATTTATTGTTAACATGATGTCGTTCAAATAATGCATGAAATATTTGGCACTGGACGTTATGTCTCTTGTTTGTGTGTCTTTAGTGATGCTCGAAACCTAAAATTTATTAAAAAACCTGATAAACAGTAAACTTTTGATTTGAAGAGTTTTTAAAATACCAGAACTGTTGAAAAAAGGGAAGTCAATTCTGCGGAAAGCCCGCCGTGCAATATTCGGTTTAATATAAAAGGCATCATCAGAATTTATTAGTTATAGAATAACTAATCGAAGAATTCAAATAGAGAAAAATATTCAACGAGTGACCGAACAACACATTAATTCACGAATGCGCGTAGCGCATGAGTTAATTATCAGTGTTGTTCGGTCACGAGTTGAATATTTTTCGATATTTGAATTCTTTGATTAGTTATTCTTTTTATTACATTGACAAATGGCTTTTTTTTAATGAAATTAATGTAGAAAATGTAAGGAACTATATCTTTTTTCTACGCATTCACAATTTGTTTTGATCCGACGTTATCGACGTCTTGACAACGCCTATTGTTGTATGACGTCAGAGAGTGAAATAACCACGTTTATTTCACATGTGAAATTATCGGTTTTTATTTGACTGGGAAATCAATGTAATTCATTGCTACCAATGTAATAATACAAAATAATTCACTTGGTAAACGATTAATTCAACTGTACTAAAATTATTTGTATGTTCGCTCTAAATCAGAATGCAATACTTGCAACTTGCATTTCAGTCAAAAGTTAATTCATATGTTACAGATTAAATTTGCAATTATGATAATCATTAACAACCGGCATTGAACAAACTAATGATAATAAATGACCACTTCATCAACTGTGTCCCCCATCATAGAATTGCCGTAAACGTTATTGATGTCATTTGTACATGTATTAGCGCTAAAAGACGTGAGACGTTCTGGCGTTTAACAGTGGACACGTTTTGGCGAAAAACAATTATTGGACACGTTTGGGGGTTATGAAATCGGACACGTTTGGGCAATATTGAATATAACGGACACGTTTGGGGAGAATGGACACGTTTGGGGGAATCGGACACGTTTGGGGGGATGGACACGTTTGGGAGTGTTACATATATATATACTACAATATTCGTAGAGTCTACTAGATGCACATGAGTGCGTTTTCAAAAGTACATGCATTCCTTAGTCATTAATGTGAAAACACTAATTTGGCGGGGAAAAGGATTTGGATTAACAAGCAGACATCATTGTAATGTTTTGAAATGATGATTAATACCACATGAACAAACAAACTGGCTAAAATAAAAAAAACATAAAACAGCATGCTTGGTTGACAGGTGACCGTATCCATGGGAACATAAACGATAACGTCCTCGAGGAAACATATTTCGTATTTACAAATATATACTAAAAAATGGGTCTTTTTGAGGTGTACAAATATTGACAAGCAACCATGTTAAGAGTTTGCATTCATTTAATATCATTTTGTACTTAGTTTTTAGAAAATAAAATGATCTTCTCCGATTTTTCTATTGCTGTCAAGTAATGACGTAAGTTTTAAAAATATCACAATTCATATTTCTGACCACTAAAGATGTTACTACAGATTATGCTTTAGCATCATAAGCTTTTTTTATTATTAATTAACAACAATTATGATAAGTCACAGAAACAATTATGATAAGTTATAAAAAAACAGTGATGCAAAGTTTTTATTAAACTTACCATTGGATCGGTCTCTTGTTCACTTAAATCCCAACAGAAGTCTGTCAGAGAATGCTGCACACTGTTATCTTTGGACTATCTTAAAGATAAGTGGCATTTAGGTCGTCATGTACGTTAAGAATAAACAAGGATTTTGAATTTTAAATTTTTTTTCAAAAGGAATTGGTTTATTTTACCAAGTTTGATGTTTATCAAGTTATGCGTTGGTTAATATTTACTAAGTGTGTTTTTGTTAATGTTAATAAGTTTTGTTTTGGTTAATGTTTACTAATAGAAAAACAAAGGATATGGGGTATCCATCCATGACACAAAATCAGTTCATGCACAGAAAAAAACACACAAAAAGCAAAGGAACAGCGCTTTTATTGATGTTCTTCATAAGTTTGTTTTGTTAATGTTCAATTAGTTTTGTATTGATTAATGTTTACTAAACTTCTTTTATGTTTACTAAGTTTTGTATTGGTTAATGTTTACTAACTTTGTTTTGGTTAGTGTTTACCAACGTTTGTTATAGGTAATGTTTACTAAAGTTTGTTTTGCTTAATGTTTACTTAGTTGTTTTTTTGGTTGATGTTTTCTTAGTTTTGTTTTGTTTCATGTTCACTAATATAAAAAAATATCGAGATGTGGTATGATTGCCAATGAGACAACTGTCCACAAAGTTCAAAAAATTCAAATGTAAGTAATTATAGACTGAAATAATTCAATTGGGAAAATTAACGGCCTAATTTATAACAAAACAATTTGCGAAAAACAAATATGACAGACATGAACCAACGACAACCACTGAACTACAGGCTTTTGACTTGGGACAGACACATACAGTATGTAGCTGGGTTAAAGTAGTTTACTGGTGCGAAACCCTCTCCCTAACCTGGGACAGTGGTGTAATAGTACAACATTGGAATAAACTTTAAAAATCAGTTGAAAACTCACCAGATTGATACAAAGCAGAAAACACAGACCGGACGTGGCAGAGTATCTATACATCCCACAACAAAAAACGACACTAAGTTAAGATCTGAGAATACTCGCAGCTCCTGACAGCTAGTTCAAAGCCAATAACAACTATAAAAAAAACCTGTATCTAAGACTAAGTTTGTTTTGCTTGATGTTTACTTAGTTTTGTTTCGGTTGATGTTTACTTAGTTTTGTATTGGTTAATGTTTACTTAGTTTTGTATTGGTTAATGTTTATTTAGTTTTGTATTGGTTAATGTTTACTTAGTTTTGTATTGGTTAATGTTTACTTAGTTTTGTATTGGTTAATGTTTACTTAGTTTTGTATTGGTTAATGTTTACTAAGTTTTGTATTGGTTAATGTTTACTTAGTTTTGTATTGGTTAATGTTTATTTAGTTTTGTATTGGTTAATGTTTATTTAGTTTTGTATTGGTTAATGTTTACTAAGTTTTGTATTGGTTAATGTTTACTTAGTTTTGTATTGGTTGATGTTTACTTAGTTTTGTATTGGTTAATGTTTATTTAGTTTTGTATTGGTTAATGTCTACTAAGT